CCAATTCCTGCATTTAAAAGTGGCACAAATCCTATTTATAGTATTCTGCCCCCTGCCCCAGGCTTAGTAATCGCTTAACTTTCACAGTATAAGCACTGCACAAATACACAGAAGGTATTTTTATCTGTAAACCAAGTGGAAATATCTGTATTGTTTATTCCTGGTTTAAAGCTTGAACATCAGAAGTTACTTCAGATTAAAAAGAAATCTGCCATTAAGAATATTACGTAACACTCTTCAAGCTGCCAGTTCAAACAAACTAAACGAGAACATCTAAAAGCCAGCCTCTTGGAGGGCTTTACTGCCAGGCAAAATATTTATCATCCACTTTAAAATCAAGTACGTTTGGATGCAGGCCACACAATGTGGCTTTAAATAATCAAAAATAGAAAAGTGTTTTGGATACTATCTTTCTCCTTTCAATGCCCATGTTATAAAAGGACTGGAAAACGCATTTACCTCTGCAACTGTCTCATCAGTTGATTCAAAGCTTCTTGAAGGGGCGTCTGTTCTACTTCTAAAGCAAAGAAAGGAAAAGAGCACTTTTTAAAAAGGAAGATTCTACAGAGTACTGTTTAGCTTATTTCCTTTCTATATGACTTATTCATACCCATCATTAAACACCTCACACAGAAACTCCATTTCCCTTGTAAGTATGAATTAAAAACTGAAGCTAATTTAAAGGTCGTATGCATCAGAGAAGTAAGAAAACTTAAAAATTCCATTAAAAGGCTTCCAAACTTTAACTTGAAAGCTAGAAACCCAGTGCCTTCCCCTGGCTGTGTCAGCCTCGTCACTCAGGACAATTCCCCGTGACTCTGACCTTCCTGTTTGGCTACAGAGCTCGACAGAGGCTTCTCAGGGGGCAGGTCCAGTCTCGCAGGCGCCTGGCACTGGAGGTCTTTTTCTGCCTCATTCTCCACACGGTCCCGGTCGCGCCTCTTTCTATCCTCCTAAATGGAACAAAGGGAGGTAATGTAGAAACATCTCAGAATACCTTTGAACTAAATCATCTTAATTTCAGTGGAAAAAATAAGACGCCACTGAAAAGTCTTTTAAAAAATCTTCATGTAGCCCTAACCGGTTTGGCTCAGTGGATAGAGAGTTGGCCTGCGGACTGAAGGGTCCCAGGTTCGATTCCAGTCAAGGGCATGTACCTTGGTTGCAGGCACATCCCCAGTAGGGAGTGTGCAGGAGGCAGCTGATCGATGTTTCTCTCTCATCCATGTTTCTAACTCTCTATCCCTCTCCCTTCCTCTCTGTAAAAAATCAATAAAATATATTAAAAAAAAAAAAGTCATGTATTTTGCTGCCATCTACTGGAAAAGGAGAAAATAACATGTTCACAAAGGGAAGAAAAATGATTTGACAGTATAGGCCAGAAATAACCATTTGGAAAACACTGTCCCTAAAAGCAAGATAACATACCCAGGAATAAATCTAATAAAAACACATAATACGTTTTGGGGAAAAGTATGAAATATTACTGAAAAGACACTGTGGAAGACCCGAAAAAAGGAAATATACCATGTTCGTGACAGTCAATTCTCTCCAGAGTTATCTATAAATGAAATGTAATGCCAACCCAAGCGTATAACTTATCTTGCAGGTCAAAATCAAGAGCCGTCACAACAGATTTGAAAAAGGTGACCGTGAGAGAGTCTTACCAGGCACCCAGCACCTGTGTAAAGTGACAGTAATGAAGACAACGTGGCCTGACATAGGGACAGACAAACCGACCAAGGGAACAGACTGCGGAGCCCAGAAACAGACCCAGGCGCACAGCGAGTCTGGGTGTCACAGAGGTGGCATCACTGGGAATAAAGACAACGGGGAGTTAGTGCTGGGGCAACCAGGCATCTGCATGGAAAAGAAAATGAATATAGTCTCTACCTCATACCAGACAACAGTAAACCCCAGGATAGCAGACTGAAATGTACAAAGCCAACCTTTAAAACTTCAGAGAAAAGAATCTTTATGACTCAAGAGTAGAAAAAACTTTTCTTCCATAAACAAGCTGAAAGGCCAGCTACCGACAGAGATGAGTACCTGCAACACACACACCTCGAAGTCAGCGCAGATCACATGCATGAATCAGCAAACAACCGAACGGAAAATGGGTGGAGAGTATCGTAGGTGATTCCCAGAAGAAACCTGAAGTGTCAGGAAATGAGCACAAGCTCCCTAGACCTCTAGGAATGATACATGTAAAAACTAGAAGGATTTCACATCTCCCATCAGCAGAAGCTCAGATGTCTGTACATGTCAGGTTCTGATGAACATGAAGAGAAACGGGGCTCGTGCCTTGCGATGGGTGAGTACAGGGCACAGCCACCAGCTGAACCAGGAACAGGACCTAGGACGGAGAGGCCTTCACCGACTCCCAGCCCTCCCACCCCGGGGCACACCCTGGAGACACTTCTCTGCACAGTGTACCCTCGGCCCTGACAACACAGGAGTGGGGGCGCTCCTATGCGGATTTTCTTCAGTAAATGCCTCCTGCTTTCCGCCTCCTGCGGGGGGCCCCGGGTGGGGAGGGCTGAGGGGATGCACTGATCTACGCCATTTTACACAGGGGATGTGAGTGGCTTTGGAAGCTGGTATCCTGGGCGTCCTGGAACCAATCCCTCCTGGTCACCGGGGGACAACTCAAGTTTCTGGGGAGTCAGGTTGCATGCAGGTTTTCGACTGCACGGGGGGAGGGGGAGTCAGCGCCCCTAACCCCTGTGTCATTCAAGGGCCAATGTTCACAAGAATATTTACTGCAGCTCTGGCTGAAACAGTAAGAAAATTAGAAACAGCCCAATGCCTGCTCCGGGGAGACGGACCACGGCGTTCCGGCTTATGGACGCGGCAGGTGCGATGATGACGCTGAAGAGACGGGCAGGTGGGCGTCCCCGGAGGGACGGGGCGTGACCACGATTTCGCTCAGCGTGCACCCCAAGGTGGCAGGGGCTTCCTCTCTATCTACTAACCACCAACGGTGAAGCAATGCTTATTTTCACTCCTGGTGTCCTGTCCCCGAAAGATCTCGATCCAGGTTTCTCAAAGCGGTTTGAAAAGGTGGAAGCCGCCCGTTCAGCGCCTGTGGCATCTTCAGTGCCTGGGGCCTCGGGAGGAACCACAGGTGTGGACCTGGGCGGATCCCATTTGCGGCCGAACGAGTCCCGCCCACCTGGTCCCGGGCCCGGCAGGTGGGCCGGTGGCTCCCTCACCAGGTGCGAGCGCAGCTGGAGCCTAAA